TCTCTCTCTCTCTCTCTCTCTCCTTTTACAATACTTTATTACAATATAATATCGATTTCTAAATAAGTAATAGTAAAGTCGAAAAATTGTGTCAAATATTATATAACCAACACTTAATTAAAAAAGATTGTTATATATATATATTATTTTTAAGTTAAAAATTATAATTTTTAATTACGTCGATATTATTTTATATTTCTTATTACTTATAATAATGTATATTTTAAACTTGTTGTTTATAACTTATTAATCTATATGAAATTTTTGAATCACAAAATGAATTAAAAAATAAATAATAAAAATACCAATTTGGTGCAGTTATTATAAAATCAAATGATATTTTTGAATTCTTTGAATATATAATTTTTGGTATATATGGCACGTTACTATATAATTGAAGACATCTGTTATTGATGTTTATATATCAATTATATTGTAGTATTGCGGTAGTTATATCAATAAGATTTTTACAATTGATCTTGAAATTTATTTTGTACTTATATTTTGCAATGTTCTCACGCATATTTTGTTCTGCTTATGGTTGTATATCCAACAAAGCAGTAGAACGCATTATTTGTTTATTGAGGATAAAGATTGTTTGGTTATTAAAGATAAATGGACAAATTTCTTTTAATATTATATTAAATTGCGTTTACAACTTTTAAAATACTGAATCGATTGACTTATAGATAAATCAAAGGATTTTAAAATAATCCTCTTGATTAAATGGTTTTTGAAGATGGTATACGATTGGTTGCAAACGAATAAAATCGTTGTGGTTTGTTATTAATGTTGATAAATAAGATTCTATTGAAACGTTCTGATAGATATCATAATAAAATTTCAACACCTGATTTCAGTTTTTATTTTGTAATTATATTTGCAATTTTATCATGCATATGAAATAAATTTTCTAGCAAAAACATAGTTAATAGATGCTTTTTTGAAGACATGTTGTACGGTTGGTTACCAAAAGAATAATAAATTCGAGTGATTTGTAATTAATACGAAGAATCAAATTTTTATTATGATAGTTATCACAAGATAATTTCCACAATTGATACCACTTTATTTATGTAGAAAATCTTTCTATTAACCTAACTATTACGTACCCCGTGCGATGCACGAGCTGTATTTATTTGGGTAAAATTTATAATTGAAGGTTATTAATCAATAAGTTATAATACATAGAACATTTGTTAGGTAATCGTAAAATGATCATCATGAAAAAATCATACATTATTAAAAAGCTCTTTGTTTTTCCATGCAAAATTATTATTCACTTGGTCACTGTAAATCGATATTTACCAAGATTGTTCTCCACTTGGTAATTGTGAATTTCATAGACACCTCATTCCTTCATTTTTTTTGTTGATTTTTGGAATGTTACCACCATGAAATAAAACTATAGTGAAAATATGTAATATTGTGATAGATACTAAATATATGATTATCTGGTGAAGTTTAATTTTATATCGAGCATAAGGAAAATTGTTACCTTAAAGTTAAAGTTTGGATTTTGAGTATATCTTTTTTTGTCAATCATTCTCATTTTTTATGCCAATTTCATTCAAAAAATTGAGAACAATTTTGTTTTGTTATGTTTTAACAGAGATTTGGAAGTTTGGTTATATCTTTTGTAAAACATATTTATAAAAATAATTACGTTTAAAAAAAAATCAACAACGATATTTTATCATTTGTAGATAAAAAAATAACTAAATGAATCAGAGGACATGTAAATCACATTTTTTAAATGAAAAATATGTTTCATAAAAATAGTGATAAGAAAATGATTCAAAATGATAAAAAGAAAATCGTATATTATAACAAAAAGATGTTTACATGAGTAGTGGATTAGTGAATCGAAAATTGTGGCAATTTTAAAAAACATGTTACCATGATTGAAATGAAATCTTTAGAATATTTTTTACTTTTAGTTAAGTTGCATATATTTCATAACTATATATGAAAAAAAAAATTTAAAGTTCAAATAGGCGATTTATTTATATGTATATAATAAAGTGTACAGTCCAAATAATTAAATTTTATTTAGCATTTATATTGTTAATATTGATACCGTGATTATTGTAAGGCAAAATTGCATATAATATCACGACTTTTATCGAGATTGCAAAATAATCACGACTTTTTAACTTTTGCATACGATATCACAACCTTCAAATCTTTGCAAAACAGTACATACATTTTGTCTGCTGCCAACTCACATGCTGATGTGTATTTATCAATTTTTTTTTCCATCTCAGCCCTGAAACGACGTCGTTTCGTCGGACGTGTATAAGTTCGAATTTTGTTTTCCACGCCATCCACAAACGACGTCGTTTTGCACATCAACCGTCGATTTAAATAGGAAAATTGCAATCAATTTTCAATTTGTAACCCTAAATTCATCTTCGTTCCCCGATTCTCTCTGCTCTGAGGAAGAACACTAGAAAACGATTGCTCAGTTTAGAAGACCACTCCATGTCGACCGGTTCCAGTTCATATAGGAAGACAAGTTCGGCAGCAACATTCCCGACAGCAACATTCCCGAGTTCAGCAAATCCGAAATTAGAATGTAAACATAGGGAAAATCCCGATCTTCTTACCTCTCATACTGATCTGAATCCGGCTAGGAGGTACTACCGGTGCAAATATCGAATGGTAAGTGAAGTCTAAATTTATAAAATGCCCAACAAATTGATTGAGGATCTTGTTACTGATGAACAATATTATTAGAAAAGAGGATGTGTGTTGTTTGTATGTGAAGTCTGAGTAATCTTATTGTGTGCTTTATGTTTGTAGCTTGTATTTAAGTCTGAGTAATCTTTTTTGTGTGCTTTATGTTTGTAGCTTGTATTTAAGTCTGATTTATGTTGGAAATCAGAAAAAAATGAAGGTCTGCACCTATATGTTTTCATTTCATTTTGTATTGATTTTTAATATGCTAACTTTTTATACATTACAGGATGATGATTGTAAATTTTTTGCTTGGTTTGATCCTGAGCTCCCACCCTACCAGAAAGCTAGTTATTTGAAGTTGAAAGGTCAAGTTCAAGTGTTGGAAGAACAATTGAAATGCAAAGTGTTTATGGAGAAACTTTTGTCTGAAAGATTAGAAGTAAAAGACAATGAGTTGGATGTGTTGAAAAGGAAAAATGCTGATCTTGAGAATAATATTGCAACCATGGATCAGAGGAGAAAATCAGAGAAAAAGTTGCTTATTTTAGTCACTATGTTCTTGTTAGCCATGTGGTTCTTTGGTGTTTCTAATGAGAAGAAGTTAATGCTTATGTAGCTTTGAACAAGGATATTGTGTTTGTTGTTGGTTGTAGCTTTGAACAAGGATGTTGTGTTTGTTGTTGGTTGTAGCTTTGAACAAGAATATATTGTGTTTGTTTTCAATGTTCATGAGATTATGGTAATCTTTAGCTAGATTTGTTGTTGTTTTTGTATGCTTAGATAGACAAAGCTGGTATTTTATCTTTGTTTGCACCAAGGAAAAAGTTTATATGTTTTCAGGCAAGAACATGGTGTGGTTTTGTTTTCAATGAACATAAAAGCATACAAACATGAGAACATACAAACAATATCAATATGAAGCTGCTATTATGTTGCAAAAGTAACCCAAAATACATACATAATGTCTTAAGATCCACAACAATACATATCTATGCCATTTTTGACAAAACAGATAGTCCTTGGCATCAATTTGTTCACATCACATCCATGTCCACAAAAACAAAAATTGAAACAAACTGAATCCCCTGAAACAAACAAACAAACCAAAACAAAAACTCCATGTTCACAACCACATGTCCACAACAAACATTTTTTGTCAGTTCTTTGCAACACTTTCTTGAGTTCCAACAGCTTCCACAGATTCATTGTTTTGAGATTGCTTTTGAACTCTATTTTATCTAAGCACCTGTCATTGTTAATGTGAAATATATATATCAAAATATATCACATACAATAGAAAAATAAAATTAAAGACAAATATTGAGAGTGGTAT